GGCCCCGCGCGGCCAGGGGGTCTGCAGCGGCTCCCTGGGGGAGACCCTGCGCGTGTTGAACACACACGCAGGGGGATACCCCAGGGAATAAGCTCGTGTGGAGAACACGCATGTCAACACATGTAAGTTCAGACCCAGACGTTACACATTAGGGGCTTGGGCAGGCGTGGCTGGAAAGCTGCCCAGCTAAAAGGACCCGGGGGTGTTGATTGGCAGGGTGCTGAACATGAGCCAGCAGGGTGCTCACATGGCAAAGAGCCAGGAGTCTTGGATCAGAGTGTGGCCAGCAGGAGGAGGGAAGTGATTGTCCCCATGTACCTGGCAGTGGTGAGGCTGCACCTCAAGTACTGTGTTCAGTTTTGGGCCCCTCGCTACAGGAGGAATATTGAGGTGCTGGAGCAAGTTCAGAGAAGGGCACCTTGTGCTCGTAAGCAGAAGTCTTATGAGGAGCAGCTGTGGAACTGGGGTTAAGTCTGCAGAAAAGGAGTCTGAAGAGAGACCTTGCTGCTCTCTGCAGTTACCTGAAAAGGAGATTGTAATGAGGTGTAGGTTGGTGTCCTAAGTAGTAAGTGATAGAGCAAAAGAAAATGGCCTCAAGTTGTGCCAGGGGAGGTTTAGACTAGATAGTAGGAAAAATTTCTTCACCAAAAGGGTTTTCAGGTGCTGGAACAGGCTGCCCAGGGAAGCGATGGAGTAAACATCCCTTGAGTTTATATAGATGTGGTGCTTAGGTCACAGTGGTGGAGGTTGCAGTGCTGGGTTAATGGTCAGACTTGATGATCTTAAAAGGTCTTTTCTAACCAAAACAATTCATGATTCCATGTGTTTATCCCATGTGTGGTCACCCCACCTGAGTCTATACCCATGTGGGGGTGACATGCATGGGTATAAACTTGCATGGAAACACCATGCATGGATTGAACTTGCCTGGGGTTGAAAGCATGCGGATGTGCATGGGTATGAATTCACATGGGAGAACCATGAGTGGGTATGAACACATGGGGGCAAGCAACACACAGGATAAACTCACCTGTGGAGAAGCATGAGTGGGTGTGAGCTTGTGTGGAGATAAATGTGAGAAACGTGTGGGAGAAAAACTCATGTGGCATGTGTGGGTGTAAAATGCACGTGGAGAAACTTGGGGGGAGGGCAATCACATGTGGGGATGACCTGAACCGGGGGCTTGCCTGGGATAACCTGTATCAGGTAATCCACCTAGGATAATCTGTACTGGGTAACTCACCTGGGATGACCCACACCAGGATAACCCACCTGGGAGAACCTATGCCAGAATGACTCAGCCAGGATAAACCATGCCAGAACACCCACACGGGATGGCCCATCCGTGATAACCCACACAAGCTGACCCATCCTGGATAACCCACACCCAAGACTCCACATGGCACATCCCACTCAGGACAACCCACCCACGGTAATCCACACCAGATTACAGGCAATAGGCTGTACCATACCAGCAATGTCACTCAGGCAGCTGAGTACACACACACAGTTTGTAGCAGAACAAAGTTAGTCTTGCAAACAACAGGACCCTGCCCAGCACACGCTGCAGTGATTGATGGTTTGTACGTGTCAGGGCTTCATCTGCCTGATGATCACACTTGCAAAAAAATCATGTCACTTAAAAAGATTTCACAGATGGGCCCCTACACAGCTGTATTAAAAACAGTAGATTTTTGTCCAGTTTATATAAAAAATAGGTAAATATGTACATGTATTTGCTTCCTTAGAAAGTATCTTTCGGCTCTTTGTTTAGGTATATTAAAATCAGGAACACTTTCACATCTGTTAGGACAAAGTCTATTAATACTAATTTAGCAGCACAAGAGTCTGTGCAACACAAGTTTTTCTTACCTAAAGGAAATGTTCTCTTACCTTCAACCCATTCATTCAACAGACACACTGTCAGCATCTCCAGTGAAGAAACATGACATATTTCAAATGGAAAAGATACAAAATGGCTGAAACATGTAGGTCTTTGATCACTTCTAGATTGCTAATCTGTAAATAATACTCTTTATCTGATTATTTAAAATGCCAAGTGTTTTTAAACACTTTAAAGAGCACAGTTCTTCAGGAAATGAGTCAAACATCATGGTGTAACAGCAGCATCTGGAGAGCCTTTATCTATGACACCACTACTGGTGTGCTATGCATATTCAAGGAACTAGTTTTGTATGGTTGCACAAGTATGGCCTGTTGGTCAACATCAGATCATGCAGGTTCACTTCACCACAGCAAAAGGCACCCCATTCTAGATGGGCCCTCTCCTAGCTCACAGTGAGGCCTGGACTTAAGAGATAAACAATCCCTCTTATCAGCACACTAGTCTGACAATTATTCTGCTTGATAAAATTTTGACTCTTTTTCCACCATTTAAATGTCCAGTTGCTATTTTGCCTTTAGCCTTTTGCCTGGGTGGAGTACCCCACTTGCAGGCCTTTGCTCCGTCAGCTAACAGTTACTATTACAAAACAGTGCTTATTAGATAAACTATAGGAGTTAAGCTGAGTATTGACAAAGGCATCATTTGCCATTCTTGCAGTTGCTGGTTGGGTTTTTTTGGCACAGGTAAGAAGATTGTTTCTAATATCTAGGGTGTTTGATTCCTCTCTGTTCCAATTTTACATTTCCCCACTTTCATATGAAAGGTCTGTACTCATCTTCCTTGTGGAACCAGGTTCCAGAAGCCTGCTGGGACTGAGTAACTGGGCTCTTACTACTTAATGACTCCACTGACACACAGCTGGAGACTTCTGCTTTGCCATGACTTAACAGTTCCCAGCTTTCCTGATGGATTCTTGAGTGGTTTCCACAGTGCACTACCTTAATTTGTGGTCATCAGGGGACCCTCCCTATAATCGTCTCTAATACTCTTCCTTCACACCTTGCAATGAGCCTGTTACTAAACACTGCTCTTTGGAAATAACACCTGCTTGGTAAGACTCTTGATGGCACTTTCATGCTGGCTGCAGCAATAAAAACAGCAATCATCACTTGTTGCAAACAATTTATTAGGTAGTAATAAATAAGAATATAGCAGAGACAACTATACAGCAATAAGGCATATTAATACTATTGTTAAGTATACAACTTGACACACATTTTAACATTTTCCCTCTCGTTTTCTAACAAAGTGCTATGTAGAGAAATGTATTTCTGATACCAGTGCCAAGTGGTAGCAAGGATGCACTATGAAGGGCCTGACTGTTGCATTTACATTAAATAAAATCCAACAATCCATTAAGACTTACTGTTATTTATGCCAGTGAAGTTTAAGTAGAAAAGTATAACTTGCTAAGAAGATTACAAAATATAACAGTCTCCTGTTCACTTTTTTTAATCTGCTTACTACTTTAATTTCTTAAACTGCACTTACTCATAGTAAGGTATGAGTAAAATTACTACACAACAGCACAGTTCCTAACATTCATTTTAAATTTTATTTGAAAACTTAAGAGTCAAGTGCTAATTTTTATTTTTTAAAAAAAACTTTCCTTACAAAATATTGCACACTGCTTTAGCATGCAGTTTACATGGAAGAAATAGTCAAGTGCACTTAAAACCCTGAAATACAACCAGAAATTTTAAGGATTTGTGTTATGGATACTATTATATTGTACAAGGATATGTTTCCGCCTGCATAGGGTCCCACCTTACACTTGGGACCAAACTTGTTGAGACCAAATCTTGACTCTGCAAAGAGCAGGGAGAATGCTAAAAATTGCATCTGAGTTTCTTGCATTATACATCTTCATTCCTGAATCCTGCACTACTTGTAGCCCCAAAAAACTGAAGTATGAGTACAAAAATAAGCATAACAGAAATAACTTAGTACCTCCTATATGAGTTTTACTTACTGCAGATGTGTTGCAATCCAGGGTGTGATTTATTAAACTTTCTGAAGTCCTCTGAGTAAGATTAATTTTTAAATCTTTATCTCCTTCCATATATATACATTTTGTATTGCACAGCCAAAGTAAAAATACATTTTTTTTTAAAAACACACATGCTAAACATTTAATATGGCTTCTGAATTATTTAAAGTATTTCCCTTTTGCCATCCTCATGCAATATTTTAGGATAAATATGACTACAAGGTATGAGAAAGTTAAGAGTAAAAATAAAGCCAGCTGTAACATTTGTCAGAAACCAAATAAAATTCAAGAGCTTATCAAAAGTAGTTGCTCAAAGGTTTAACCGGTCTTTTAAGCACACTTATCAACAGTCTTAAAAATAAAATGTGTCTACAAAATACTGTAACATACACAACCACCTTCAGCTTCCACAGAATGAGAGGTAAACAGGTTAACTGAGACTTGTGTAATGGCACTAGTAGTCCCACAGTCCTCTGGGAACAAAAACCTTACTTGGTTTATGCTTATCTAACTCAGTAAACCTTTACATTTCATTAGCTTTATTGGTTAAGCTAAAGCCCTATAATAGTTTATATATGAAACACAAAAATATTTATAAAAATAACAGATATGTTGTATAGTTTTTTTAAAAAATATAAACCATGCATAGCTTCTGTACAAAGTTAAAAAACTGTACAAATTTACTTTTCTATTGTGTGAAGTTAATGTACATGGAAGTCTTCTGTTATGATGAGAAACAAGGTGGGTCTTGCTTAGCTGCAAGATGATGTTTTGTAGCTATTGTTCATTTCCATCATTCATTTCTTTCACTTGGCATTAACTGGCCATTTAATTTCATCAGAAGTTTTACGACAAGACCCGCCTGCATAATGGTACACAATGAAATTCTGTCAGCATTTCAGAACTATTACACAATTAACTTCAGTATATGCCAAATTCAAGTAGATAAAAATAAGTTAGATGTTGCACCATCTTAGAAATAAAGAATAAAATGTAGATTTTTCTCAGTTTTCAATTCCTTCCCCTCGAACCACTTCAATATATGAGTCACAAGCAGCTACTGTCAAAGTATGCAAGAAACTTAAAGAGGTAATTTTGTCACAACACATTGAACATGTATTGCCATTGCTGCAAACTGGGTAAAAGCATTTTCTGTCAGACATCCACAAACACTACCAAAAGTTGCTGGTAGCAATTGCAGTGAAGTTGCTTTTCAACACTGCCTTTACAGCTTTATCCAACCTCAAACTCTGCTAATATTGATAAGCAAGGTTACCGGCTCTAACGCTGTGTGAGGGATCTGGCATGTGCAACAGTTCGAATTTAACAAACAAACAACCCCCCAAAAAAAGTTTACCCTAATGATTACATTTGTATTTTATGTATTTTGAAACCTAAAGGCTTCACATGCTAGGAAAACAAGCTAACATTCTGAAATGTTAAAAAGAAAGTTTAAGATAATTTGGGGGGGGGCTTAGGTTGGGCTTCTTTTGCACTGTACAAAGGTGGTCAATCTCTAGAAAGAAGAGGCACATATCTATTTTAGGAAAAAAAAATTGAACATAAAGGATGAAAAATTATAAAGCTTACCTGTTTGGTATGCACAATAAAGCTCATTTTGTTTTCCAGACTGTGGATTTGAAAACATGTATCACCATCTCCCAACTGCCACATAAAGCAACCATACTTTAGGCTGAGGAGTAAAGCCTACAATGCAATGTAGGACACTGTCACTCAGAAAATATACTCCATACTCACAAACCAAACTTGTTAGTTCACTTAAAACAGTATGTTCCACAGTCTACTTGTAGCTTATATAGTAGTCAAGTGGAAAAATCCAAGGCTTTCTATTAGTAGTCCTTTACAAAGATCTTAACATTTTGGAAATCTCCACATTTAAGTTTAACCAAACAGTCATAAGTGAAATTACTACCAGCACAAAGAATTTAAGATAACAGAATTAAGCTTAGGAGTTGTTACTGGCAGTTCACTTAAGCTAACCTTTGTTTCCATGTTGAGAAGGTGCAGCCCTTTTACATTTACTCCTACATACACTTTGATGACTTTATGGCTACTTGAACTTGCTTTGGTGAATATCTGTCCTGTGAAAAAAGCTGCTCCGTAAGTAGGAATTTCCCAGCAATTCTGCAAGAACATGCGCTGAAGGTGATGCATCTCTTTACTTACACCTTCACTGGTGCTGAGGTTCTAAAAATAAAAGAACAATGGCAATCAACAAGTCTTCCCAAATAGCTGTTGTTATTTAAAGAACAGACATTTTTTTATGGCATGATAATTATTGAAATACCACTAAATGAGTATTTTCAAAGTGCTTTCCCAGCAACCATCTTCCTACATCTAAATTAAACCATAGAGCCACAGAAAGGCTCAAATGTCACAGGAGACTGAGGCAGGAGGCAGACACCTGTACAAGCCTCATAAATCTGAGGCACAGACACCTAACCTCTTTCAGAAGTATGTCAGGACTCATCAGGGATAAGCAGCTATGCACCCATCTGACACTAAATGCATCACAATCCTTAAAACTAAGCATTCTTCCTCTTTTAATGGATCCAATCCAGTGCGGCATGGTAAGATGATCAAGTACCTCCACCAAAGAAACGTTTTTTTTTATTTTCCAAACAAAACAGAGGTGTAGATTTCTTTTCTTTAGTGGAACCTTCGTATAGAATAAGACAGACTTCTGTTCCTTCCTGTTCAGTACAGTGAAACAGTCCCAACAAAGGACTGCTAGAGTGCTCCTGCTTCAACACAGACTGATGAAAAGTACCCTAACAAAAAACTTGGCTAGGCCACACATGAGATGAGAAGGCACAGGCACGAGAGAGAACACAACTCTTCCACAGTTAGAGGCCATGACTGTGGGTATGGTGGATACGACCAACCTCTTTGGATCCACACCCTGAATTACATCTTTCCCGAATTCTACACAGCCATTTTAAAAATGTAAAATATATTAATATCTTTGGAACAAAACATTGCAAGTTCATTCCTCTTCTCCCATACCCCACACCCCAAAATAATGGCCTAAGGGCAAAAGTCAAGAAAGCTATGCTCATTCTTACTTGTCATTTGATACATGAAAGACTGCGACTACTGTGCTATACCACTGTCTTAAAAAGACCCTCATCATCCCCTCCTTCATCTGCATTAGGAAATACATGATCTGCTGGCTTCTGACAAAACAGGTCTAGGCATCAAGGGGAAGTTTATGATTGAGTAACCTCATCTCAAAAGACAGCAAGGCCTGAAAACATTCCCTGGGTGCCTCTGCAGTTTCCTGTAGTGATGCACTTCAGCTGGTACAATTCGTCCTCTGACACAGCTCCCATTTCCCACCATTTTTATGAAGCTCACAAGTTTAATCTTCAGGTATCTCTGCCCCCATTTGAAACCCATAGCCCTCAGTTAAGGTATCTGTCTTTTACAGAAGAAACTGTCCACATTTAATTTTTTTTTCTCAGTTAGCTGCTCTAGTTAAAGGAGTTTGTGTGTGTGCGCACACACGCTTCAGCAGCGCTAATAGATCCCTAACATACAAGCTGCGCTGGCAACAATAACTTTGTGGATCTACCACTACAGATGTAAAAATGAAAGTCAGAGTAGATTCTTCTACATGTATGCCTGAATTGGCAGTACCCTCAACACACAGTTAACACTGAAAATAAATGAACAGATGACAATTATTTTCTTCTAACAACCAGATCAGTTGTAACTTCTTGTAACTGTACAAGAAAAACAGCATTCCAACAACCCATCCCAAAAATTCAGAACCTACACACACACAAACAGAAGCTGCATTTGTAGTTTTATACACCAGTATTTTTGTACATTAGCTGACAACCAGTCAAAAATGTTTAAGGCAGGGTTTTCTACTATTTGATTATCTCACCTTGTATTCATGAAGTATCCTGTTTGTCCAATGAGGAGCTTTACTTTTTAGTTTCGTTATTGGTACTATAGATTTAAGATTTTCTTCACTAAGAGATAAACAAAGGAGAAAAAAAGTTCTTCACTAAACAAATTAAAGAACAATGTCCACCAGTCTGTATTTTCTGATCACATGCTGAGCTGGACAGTCATCCCCTAGTCTATCTTGCTTCCTGTGGTGAGAAGCTTTCCTAAAAGGTTAGCTAAGGCTTCCTAAGATACAGTGTAATGTTAATGTAATGTAATGTGAAGTTAATGGAGATCCAGCTTTGTGCTACACACTTTGTGTCATGCATTATGGACATGGCAGGGAGACGAAATGCCAGCAGAGGAACATATGACTTAACTTGATTACAGACCAATTAGGTGAATTCCAGTCCTAAATATGGAAAAGTGTATTTCCATGCTCAAAAATGTTTAGCTTTGAAATTACACTGAGGACAATGGAACATTAATAAGTTTGTAGAAATTAGTTCTGCACTACTTTGGTAACCAGTGGTCTAGTGACCTCTTATTGGATTCATTATAGACAAACTGAACCTTGCTTTAAACAAGCCAAATTTGGGTAGTTGTAGCAAATCAATCATAGCAAAAAGAGTTCAGCCTTGTCTGAAAAAAACCCAACAAACAAACAAAACCAAACAACCTATGTGATTTGTATGTTCATATACAAATGAGAGAACACAAATAACTCTGCATAGTCTGTCCCCTTCAAAGAGGGAGGAAAGCCAATCTGAGAAGTTGGCCTAACTGGACATAGTATGAGATTTCTTCAGCATTGTACAGTCTCAGTACTGTCAAAACTCTTCATTCACATGAATAGTGTTACTCATTCTGGTATTACTGTATCTCAGTATAGACTTACAGAATACATAACCTCCATCCTCTGCCTGGGACTTCAGATCCCATGTCCAGCCTGTATTAATGCTATGAGGGTTATGTGATTACTCTGAGTTAGAACTCGGTGATGGAGAAAAATAATAAATATATCATACCTAAACTTTGAGAGTTCATAGTAACTGCTATCTAAAAATACATAATCTGAACCCATCATTTTAAGTTCTAAACATACATACTTACTTTAGAAATCCCTGTTTATGTTTTTTGCTCTCATAATTTCCATAGACTATTTGTAAAAGGAGACTTGCCAGTGTGATGAGTTTGGCATCAGGTGATGTATAGAAGCCTTTCAGTAAATTATACCTGGCTTCATCAAAAAGGATAAGAATAGCCAATGGATCCTCAATCTGTTAAAAAGATTTAAACAATATTATTTATTTGTAAAAGAAAATGAGCTTAGAAACTATAAATACAATTTCTCACTGATTCAGAGACAGAAGACAAAGGAATGATCCTGCCTGAAGTGTACATTTTTGTAATGCTTGGTAATAGAAAAAGTAACATACTTTCATTGCCTTAATGCAACACTTCCCTGATCTAATACACTCAACAATGAAGGGTGACTAGCATACCATGCCCAGTCAAAAGGTTCACAGAAATATTGATGTGTTTCCCAACCCCCCCCATAAATCCATTGAATCCATGAATGCTAAATTTGAATAATCCCATTGAGACTGACCAATTAAATCTCTGAAAAATCACAGCACAAGAAAGAGAAATAAAATTGGGCATGTGTTTTTTTAGATGTATGACAGACAGCGACTGAGGTACATAAGACTTATGAATAAACCAAACCTCGGAAAGGTGAGAAACAGAGAGAGAAGAAAGAAAGGGTGGGAAGGCAAGAGGGAGGAAGGGCAAGAGAAGAGAACTGGAATACTCGAACTATTACAGAAAAGGAGAGGAGTGGTCCCATTTAAAGAAGTTTGGAAAATACTACAGTCATTAAACACATGAAGTGTTGAAGGTGAAAGTGTTCTGACTCTGACCATGATTTCATGGTATCACTTCCAAGTGCAGACCTTTTTTTCTATTTCCAGTGGAAGTCTCACATCTCTTCTCAGAAAAAGCTGTGAAGTTTCTCTTTGAGGATCCAAGTTTGTCAGTTCAGTGAATATTTCAGGCCAATCTCGAATATGCTGCAAAGGCTTGTGATATGGCTTCAGTTGGAGGCCTGAAATAAAAGGTTTTGTTTAGAAATTAACAGAACAACCCAACACACACAGACACATATATATATGATTAAATGCTGCATCAAAACCAGAGTATCTGAAACTGAGGACTCATTAACAAATGTTTTCCCCTATGTTTTCTAAATTGCTATATACAAAAGGTTTTGAAAATACAGATTTATTGACAAAACTCTCAGCAGCAATTCAATAACTGCACTAGTGATGAACGATCTTCCTTGTTACTTACTGAGGTTCTCAGAACATATCCAGATAGTGAAGTACTGCTGAGTTTCTTGAGACAAACGCATCCCCTCCATTATCTGCTGGACAGTGGTATTGTTTCCATGTTTCAGCTCCACGGAGCGATACGACCCATCCATACGATAAATGCGTGCCTTTTCATACTACATACAAATTTAAACATATTAAACAAAAAAGTTGTTAAACCCCTTGTTGTTGGTGCTTCCACAGAGGACAGCAATTTTATCATAATTCAGCAACATCCATACTGTTCAGAAAAAGAACTCCTGCATAGTTACTATTTATCAAAACTGCTTAATTAATGTCCTATGCAAGTTCTTTTACTATGCTTTTTACTACAATAACTCCAAGAAAGAGCTTACTGATATTTTGAGGACTTCACTTCTGTTGAACTCTAAGTCAAGTAGCCATTTAAAAGTTCCCTGAGAAATCTGGGCTCAGCTGCCTATGCATACCCTGAAATGTTCACTTCACTGTTACTGGCAGGTAATGAATTATTGCCCTCAATAGTGCACATTAAAAAGATCTATTTTTCAGAAGGCAGCACCACCCTTTACACAGACTCCAGTAAAATAAAATGCCAGTCTCAAGAATATAATTTAGGACTTGTATAATATTACTACTAGCAAATAGTTTCCCCCTCCCGAATTCCCGTAGCTTTCACTGAACTTTATGAGGGCCCATAGTATGCCTCCTGAAAGACTGACTTAGATATACATTAGGTACTTAAAGCATATAACCACAAGTCAGAAATCAGCAAAACTTCTCATTTTCATCTCTCTAACGGGTTAAATGTTTCAGCTGCTTGAATAAAAAAAGTTATGGGAATTTGTTACTTCCCATCTTCAAATCTGCTTCATCATCAATAACTGAATTCCTAAAAATTTCTGGAAATAAAGATGAAGGCCTTGGAAAATGAAAACTGACTGAAGATGAGGCTTGAATGGAAGACGTATTTTTTGCTGCAGTAGTCACTGTGACTCCTATTGCAGTAATTTCTACCTTTTAATTTTAATGTATTAATTCAATAGCAGTACTTTGAAATCTACTTAAAATGTGAGCATTAGTCTTTAAAAGTCATTAGACACTCATCTACCATTTGATCACCTGAGTAATAAGAACCCTAAAATAAAGGAGGTCAATCCATTCATTAATTATTCACTCATATGAAGTGAAATGTAGATAATTTAAAACATTTGAAAACTTGACAGGTTTACTGCCACTTACCTACAGAGAGAGAAGTTACACCTTAAGTCAAGAAAAGAAAAAAACGGTTTTGTATCATTGGGCTAATTTCAAATCTACTTCAGGATGCGACAAAGTGTATTGTAAATTTTGTTTAGTATCCTGGTTAGATCTCCACCATCTGCCAAGGAAGCCTACACTGACTAACTGATGTAAAGCCTATTTTGTAGAAGCCTAAATGACAATGCATGAAGAAAGATGATGGTTGTATGATGAAAATTAGGCATAAAATCAGTAGCTGATGTGATGTTCTTACAAAGAAATAAAACATTACATTTAAAATCTTCCATATATTTCTTGAGCAAGAAATATACACAAAAGCATTTAGAGAGACAAAATGTCAGTTTGTCAATATTTACACTAATAATTTCAGTATACTGCACATTTTCAGTAACAGCTTTAAGTGAGCCTAGTTCTTCTACAAGTTTTGTATGTAAATTAAATATATATTTTAAACTATTCAGAAAATGAACTCATACAGGTTTATTTATGGCTTCCTTCAGGAGCTTTGCAGTTTCTTCCCACTCATTTTGTTTGTTCTCCTCACAGACATTTAGTGGAGATCTTCCTTGTTGGTCAGTGATGTGCTACAAACAAACAGAAAACACTGATCATACATTGTTTTCACTGGAAATAGGTAAACATTTACACATTATTTGACACCACTAAAATCCTTGATCCTAGGGTTCAAACATTTAATTCATATACAATGGAAAAGCAGAGGTAATGAAAAAATGTGTTTACACAATGTGACCCAGACAAAATATTTCACAGGCACAAGCTAGAAAATGTTGCTAAAACTGCTATTTCTATACACAAACAGAACTTACTCTGTCAATTTCTGGATGATTTAGTAGAATTTGTACTATTTCAGCATGCCCACCTCCAGCAGCAAAATGAAGAGGAGAACTAAGTTGGCCATTCAAAAGATTTGGATTGCATTTCCCTTTCTCCAACAGCATTCGAGTGGCTTCAACTTTTCCATACCTGCAGACAAATTTAAAGCAGAACAGTCACAGCAAATGGAAATGACATTTTTTTCAGTCCTAAATATGGAAAAGTGTATTTCCATGCTCAAAAATGTTTAGCTTTGAAATTACACTGAGGACAATGGAATATTAATAAGTTTGTAGAAATTAGTTCTGCACTACTTTGGTAACCAGCGGTCTAGTGACCTCTTATTGGATTCATTATAGACAAACTGAACCTTGCTTTAAACAAGCCAAATTTGGGTAGTTGTAGCAAATCAATCATAGCAAAAAAAGAGTTCAGCCTTGTCAGAAAAAAAACAAACAAAACCAAACAATCTGTGTGAGAATCAGAGTAAAGCTCCTGATTGTCATGCAGATGGATCCTGCGGATTCTTAAGCCTCACACTGACAACTGATAATTCTTGTGCACCATTTATGCAAACTTCCTGACAAACACTAAAAATCAAATCTATTTGTGTGGTTTTTTTAAAGCCAGGTTTGATTTTCATGTTATTTGTATCAGACAGTGCATTTTTAGAACAGATGAAAGCTCTCAAGCACTTAAGATACTGTACCGTTGCAGTCAGACAAGTGGACCTCTGTAGATCACCTAGTCCACCTTCCTACTTAAAGCTTTACCATCACCAACATGTGCTCAGCTCAGCTACGTGTGCTGTAGAACTGCTCACAGCCTTTAACTAACAAAGACTGTAAAAGTTATCACGCTAAAATAGACCCAGTGTTTCCAAAAGGAATTAGAACAGATGCTTCAGGATAGATATAAGAGACGATACATGATACACCCTCCACACTTGGTCTCCTCTGAAACCATTCTGATTGAAATTAACCATTTGAAGAGAAATATTGCTTTAGGTTTTGAGGTAACACTAACATATATGAAGAGTGAAAGTGTAAAAAGTGTAGACTTTTTATTTCTCACTTTTGAGTCTGTATGAGAGATTACATAAACTATTAGCACTAAAGCATAATGATGGCAAGAAAGCATTTGACTGGCAAAACTATATTAATATGACTCACCAGCATGCATAGTGGATAGGTGCCCAGTGGTCACTATCTAGCTGATTAACAGAAAACTTTTTATCCAGAAGGTGGCTTAGTAAATCAGAGTCGCCTTCGCAAGCACTGCGATGAAGAGGGAAATCATCTACCCACTGGTGTTCCCTATGAATTAAGAGGAAACAGGAGGAAAACACATTTCAGGAGTATCTCAATAGTTGAGAACAGTGACTTTTAAAAAAATGACTAATGTGGCACTAACTATAGATTCACGTGAAGAGCAAAAATTAAGCTCATGCAGCACAAACATGTCAGTATTCATACAACTAGTATTCTCATCATGCAGTAGTCAAGCTGCAGCTGTATTCATTATGTATATCATTCATTGCATGCTTATATATTCATATAAACACCTCTAAAGTTTATAATTTAAACCTTCCTTGATCTGTCCTTTAATTGTTGTGTTTCAGTACTTAGAGACTTCAAACTGGTTTTTTTTTTTAAATATGTATTTATACAATAAAGCTCTACAGTAAAAGGAATCTCAATCTGACCAAGCCTACCACATACTACTGTAATATAACAAAAGTATCTGTTAATGAAAAAGGAATGTAACATAATACTTGTCCTCTGTGACACTGCTCATGCTACGTTGCCACTTTTCTCTTTTAGGAATTTGAATCTTTGAATAGTCTGGGGCTCCAAGGCCGAAGTATGGATTTATTACCACTTTGTCAACCTGTGAAGACAGAATTTAATCACCACTGAAAAAAATTCTTACTGAGATTTCGCTAAACAATCCCCCATCCAGGCTGAGTAGTCTCTTGAAACCAAAAGTTATGATAGAAACATTTTGTAATTAAAGAGAATGATGTTCAAATGTGAAGATTTGGGGAACTATTTAGAATTAAGTGTGCAATAAAGAAATCTGTTGATATTAAACATAAAGCACACACTCATATCAAATAAATAATTTTTAAATGTATGTATGTTTCACAAATATCAATGAAAATATAGTTCTTACCCTATTGGTGTACTGAAGGTCAGAGCCAAACAAAGGATTATAGATACACATATCTGCTTTCTCCAATGCCAGCATTTTACTCTTTATTTCCAAGGCAGTATAACCCATGTGCAATGAGCTCTCTGTTTGACCAGGTTCTATAGCATAGGCAGGGTTAATTACATTTGTTTTAATTCTCTCAAGAGGAGACGGTCTGAATAAAGCTGGGATGGAGTGAGACTGTGTGTGCCGTTCATCCAACCACCTGCAGGAAAGAAAGCTCAAGTAAGTCACTGTCAGGTAGAAAAAGATTTTTTTAAACCAAATATAATTAAGTAAATGTATTTGCTCAAAAGCATTTCCTGCAGATGCAAGCTCTCAAACAAAAGGAAATTACAAACTAAGGTAAGAATAGCATTGGTTATAGCCAAAATACTTAACCACACCAACATGTAAGCATTTTGTTTCCTTTCAGTTTATGAGTATTAGTCCTCTGAATATACAAGTTCTGAAACTTTAAGCAGTTTGTTTAAGCGTAAGCTGCAATTTCAGTATCTGTGCTGACTTAAGCCTTCTAAGTCATTATGGTTCATTAGTGAGAAGTGGGAAAAAGCAAAAAATCAGAAGGTTCTTTGGTAGTTTCCAAACTGCCAAGCCTCTTTCATGTAGTCTACCTCCTACTTTTTCACAAAGCTGTGCTGAAGGTTATTAATTTTTAAGTGCACTCCTACTGATGGTAGAGGAGGCCTTGAGAGCCCTTTTACTCTGAGTTCTTGGGGAAAGCCAGCATTGCACACCTACTGCATTTTTTCTGGCCACATATGCAATGTAACACAGGGCTCAGGGCTTTGGGATTAATATATTTTCACTAAATTGCTGAAATATTTTATTCTGGGACACATTTTAACTTAAGAATTTAAAGCCCAGTTTGTATGTAGGTTTTTGCACATACTTTCTCTCAAGCTTGTGACAAACATGTACTTTGCTGCAACACAGTAAATTCCACTCAGTGATTTAGCCTGGGAATACAGAAAAACATGTAAGTACGTGCTTTGGAAAGATAGATCCACTGACAGACCACTTGGATCTTGTCTGCCCCAGAACCACATGAAAGGGTCGCAGAACATAGCCTGCAGCTCCATGCACAGGCTTAGGCCTGGATTTGTCCCGATCCAAGCTATCATGTTCTGTAAAAGCTGTGTTCTCTTCCCTTACTCATAATCCTGAAGGAAAGGAGTACTATAAAACTGTGATCATTGGACTATAAACACCCTCTTGCCTCTCTGAGGTATTTTCAGGTATTTTCTCTAAATGGCTGGCAGATAAATTAGTTATGGCAGTTTGAACCTTTGAAAAGTGTTGTTTCAGATTATATACATAAAAAATAGTCAATATAAACTACTTTCTACCATACTTCCAAGGTAGTTTCTCTAACAACTGTAAAGCTGGTAAAACATCTTAAGCAGAGCTTAGAGTCTGAAGGCACTCATTAAGGAGCAAATGAATATAACTAGCACAATAGTATACTTGGAAATATTATGACTCTACTAATAAACTGTAAAATCCCTACACACAGAACTTTTTTAAGTAATAGCCTGTAACTTGCAACTTAGAGCCTAGAGTTTCACCTAACTTTATCAATGCAATTAAGTTCATACATTAAGTACGTCTGGTATTTCTTTGTTAACGATACATAAAAAGACCAATAAACTGCTCACATTCTCCATGTTCAAGCTACTATAAATCTGGCTAAACAACTAATCACCTTTCTTAAAGTTAATTTCCTACCACACATAATTTTTTATGGCTGGGAAATACATGCTTCCTTTGGAAACAGGAGTTTAACTGAAATGCAACTCATAGTGGTATACATTTAACAGAACATTATTACTACACTCAGGCAAATACTCCTACAGATGGCAATTATGTCAATTATGGAAGATAAATTATTAATATTTTACATGATTTTACAGAATCTTCACTGTGAGCAAGAACTTTCAAAAAGCCAGATGGATTTATGTAAACACACCATTCCTCAGTCTGCAAGATTAAAGAAAAATAATTTAGAAATATGTTGTCAAGGTTTCAGTTTCTGATAAACAGGAAGGAAGGAAAATGGTATCACAACTATTTCCATCTTAATCACAAGAATGCTACAAAAACTACAGATCTGCAAATTTTCTTGTTTAACTTATTTTTAACATATTTTTACTGATGGCTTTTCTTACTTATCCAAGGCAATTAACATTCTTGCAGTAAGCGTAGCAAAGTGGGTGCTGGATTCACTGCAGACCCTCATGATGTCTTGTAAACAGTAGAACACGGGGCACCCAGGACTGTATGCATATTTGGTATTATCTAAAAAGGAAACATCCTCTGAAGACACATCAGTGAGAAGAATATTTTCCCTTCTCCATCTTCTGTTAGTTACACGTTCCCAACTAACTGAGAGCATATTCTTAACTTTAGACAAGATTAACTTATTTTTTCCCAAATGCTAATTGATAGAAATTCCATACAATCCTTAGGTAAAAATTCACAGCTCAACAGGGTAGCCTTAAAAACCTTAAAGTGTTCAGTTACTACTCCATCAGAGAGATCAGCTTCATCTTAGGAATTGATATTAAATGTATATCATTGCCAGAAAAAGAACAGACTAGAAGAGGTGTTTATTGCTGTTGGTAACTCCTCAATTGTTTTTATTTGCTAAGTTTTATCCTTAAGGCCTATCATTATGACAAAAATGAAGGAGCTTCTCCAAAAGCACAGACATTTACTTCAGGTTTTTTTGAAAAATAACTTTCCTGACAATCAATTTACTTTGCCTTTTAAAAATTGTATTCCCCCTTATTCAAACAAAACCATTTACAGACTTCAGTGACCATTCTTCTCTGAGTAAACAACACTGAACTGAATACATCTTATTTACACTTGTGTTCAGTAAATTCTATACAAATTAATGCATGTTTTCAAATATAAGCAAGTTAACAAATAGCGCTTAAAAACAGGAATGTGTTACAGAAACAAACAAAATGTGTTACAGAAACAAAGTTAATACATTAAAACCTAGTCTTTTCCTTAATTTTAAGCAACTTGTTAAAGTTTTAAAAGTATTCAGAGAAAGGTTCCCATCTGAATTCAACTTTTCTAATACAGAAATAAAACCATATGGCATATTTATAAAAATTCTTAATAAACCCTCAACTGGAATTCTGCTAATATGGGTGCAACTTCAGAAATAATGCTCAACGTTACCTTTCACAACAGTTGGAACAATGTAAAGTGATGCCTCCTGGCCTGCCTTCTCTCCATCAAGAGGAAACTTCTTCATTAACACTACACGCTTACCTAGCACAGCATTAAAAAAACCCAAAATAAATAATTAACCAACAAAACAAACAAAACAAAACAAAACAATCTAGAATTGGCTATCTGAAAGCTTACCAGACTCAACTTTCCTAATTTCCAGGAAGAAAAACATTATTACTAGCTGTCACATAAAGACAGCTAAGAAAATACAAATACACATGAAAAAATGAAGGAAAGAAATATGTATATATCCATTAACATGAAAAGTGACATGACTCATGGCAACATTTTAATACCCCTGATTTTTCATAGCATTCACCCCCCAGACCACCTATCTTAAGGTGAACAAGATTCCTTGTGAAGTGGGAAAGCACAGCTGAATGCTATATCCTGTGTTAGGGTGAACACTTTATTCCTGTAGTGGTATGGCAGTATTTTCCATGTTATCCTCCCTTCCAACCTAAGAGAATTTAATATTTTGTTTGTTTTTCTGATCTCAGCTGCATATTTTAGTAGTGGCCACACGAAGCTGTGCATATTAATGCTTAGGCCTTCTGTCTGAGTCTATTTAAAACTCTGAACTGTGTAATAAATACAGTTTTTATTTTTATTAGAAATTCCTCAATGTGCGCTAATGCTGCTTACTGCTCAGCAAGCTTTGTTAAGTTCATCTAACTCCAGTTACTGCCACCTAGAAAAATTCTCCTATGCAACCAGCTATTTCTTTCCTAAATTGTTAGCACTGCATTGCCTTCTCTGCACTGACAATCTTCCCAGTATAACTTCAGTATAACCTCACTCACAAAGCAGAGACAAAATACAAAGCAGAAAAAAGTGCTTTAATAAATCTGGAAATTAAATATCCAGCAATTTTTGTCAGCACAAGCTGTGAGGTTGTTTGCTAGACCAGTTATGCAACAAAACCCAAAAATGTACTACTTAAATTATATCTGTAAGTGATACAGTTATGCCAGAGATATTTGCATGTAGATGCTGCCTACTGAACAATGCTGGCTTGAGAACAGACTTATGAAGCGATCAATTCACTAGTTAAAATGGATTCACTAGTTAAAGCTGAAATTAAACATAAAAAAGCCACTTCAATCTGGTTTAGCAGAAGTTTAGCTATACATCTCAGTTTGAGGTGAAGCAGGAGCACAGACAGGCAAAGTTTGACTTAATGAAAAATGTTTAGTAAGCATTTTATAGAGTTGGAGGGTAAAGGGAAAAAAAAGGTAAATCAAAGCATTTAGCTGTATAGCTGGCTTGGAGTTTTTTTGGTGAATCTCAAAACATACCTTCTTTTTTTAAACTAATTTAATGCTTTTGCACAATCTTTCCATGCCCATTTAATTAAAAAAAATATTTTTATACCAACCATAAATCAGATTAAAATGTTTTTACCTTTAATACCCTGATTGGCTGGTGAAATTGGTTTGGTGGCTTCTAATACATAATCCAAGATGCCCTGGGTGATCTCAGTGCCTCCTTGCAGTTTAGTTTCCAGCAAAACTTTCCTTCTTTTTTTCTTTTGGCCTTCAATGGGAACTTCAAGCAACAAAATCTTTCAAACAATGAAAGCAAAGGAGTTTAAGCACAACTCAAACAAGTACAGAACACCTTTTTTTAAAAAAATAAGTTATCTATCGTACCACTGTAAAAGCAGTCACCAAATTAACAAAGTACTCAATGTGGAGGAGGTCAGAATGCCCTCCATAACAGTAAAGTTAAAGAGAAGAGGCAAAGGCTGCACCCTTGTACGGGGCAACTCACAGAACAAAAGGCCCTGTGACATGAACCACACAGAAACACACAAGTATTGCAAAACTCTACAAGTCTTCAAATACCACGTGTATGGAGCAATGCACAGCAGATGGACATTTAGAACTGTATGTACCCACATATGACATAATTTAGGCAATATTATTGTCATATTTTCTTTATTGCTACATAATATATTTACTATAACTTATATTTTTTAAATTTTTAATAAATAAAAATGTAAATAGTTTTACTTCATAGGATTTAGCTCGATATTCCCGGGAATTCAGGCTAGCAGTATTTTTTGGACGAATCACAGCAACATACGCATCTCCAATGTTTTCTGGGTTTCCCATCTCTCCTTCTTATTTTATCACTGGAAATAATGAATAAACAGGAAGTAAAGGTTCAATTGGAAAAGAAGAAAAAAAAATTCAGCAGCATGCTAAACTTCAGGATGCACTAATTATATCCACTGCTTCTCTGCGTTATTCATTTATTGTCCTTTAGCTGGAGGAACATCAATGGCTGATGTAATTCTGCTTCCTTTTCACGAAAAGGGAAAATCCTACATCACATAGATTTAATACAAATAATCTTGTTTTCTAATCCACTTTTAAAATATATTTTTTTTAACTTTGTAATGATCTTTCCCATTTTGCAAGCCAGACAAAATGCCAACGAATTTCAGGATTCTAAAAAAATACATGAAATTGAAAACCATTTTAAAGTGACAAGCACTGTAATTTACAAAATGAGCTATGACAAACTACTGCACTTCTATAAGCTCCACAGCAATTTCAAGAAAATACTTCATTTTCCTTCCCCTCCCAGGGGAACATATTCTTGCCTGATAAACTACAATATGGATTTGTTTACTTGGTTTTACTTCAGAGGGCTACAAACCGGTGCTCAATTCATTCACAGAGCTTCTGAAAGGAGTAAGTCTTCAGTTTTTGCAAAAAGTGGAAAGAAGCTTTTAGATTCAAGATAAAACTTTGCCTACCCTTGTGATTAACTCACAGTGATACTTTTTATAACTATAAAATTTTATGACAACTATAGGGAAAACCTCCTAAGGCTAAACCACATCACATATCAGATTAGACAAAGGTGGTCATGTTGGCCATCAGCACCTTCCAGCTGATCATTTTCTTCATCTACAAATGAACCCCATTTCATTCCATAGCATCAGTAGCTACAAGCTTTTTGGAGATTAATCCACCCTCAAAAAGTTTTAATGTTACTGTTTCTAGCTTGTTCACCTCTCCCAGGAGGTCTTCAGAGGTCTTCAGACTCCCATGCCCTCAATCCAGTATTTTTGCTGGGATCAGACTACCTAAAAACATGTTAAAAAAACCCAACATAAATAACAGCATGCATATTTTCATCCTCAGTTCCAATACATGTGTTAGATGATTTAATGGTGGTACTTGGGACACTAATATCTGAATAGAGACATCCATTTATTTGCATTACAGTAGCACGTAGCAACATTAAATAAACTCATACTTTGGGATATTAAGTTTTGAAAAGAACATGGAACAACTATCCCTTACAGGCAGCTGGAAAAAGGCATGTTCCCTGAGTTTCCTGACATGTACCCGAGTATACAGGGTTTGGGCCACAGGCAAGGAGGGGAGGGAGCCTGCCCAAGCAGGGCTGGGCCACCTGGGGGGTAGGTGATGGGGGAAGTCAACCAACAGCGCGCAAACTCCCTCTGCCAGTGCTCTGCACCAAATCCAGAGTGGGGTGAGGAAGGCGAGAGACAACCCCGAGCGCTGTGATACCACTCCAGAAAAGAAAAACAGAGGATGAAGAAGGGTGGGGCTGTAAGGACGTGACAATAACGATGACCAGCTTCAGAAGGCACCACCACTGAGCTGACCCGACCACGTCCAGGGGCCAACAACGCGTCCCCGTCCCAAGGGAGCTCCGTTCCCGAGAACACGCCTCAGCCGGACTTCTCCCTGCACCGCCCGAAGGCACCGCCGGCAG